CCCTTTTTAGTAAAATTATTTGTATCAAGAATTTAATAGTTATGTATTATACAAGGCGAATAATGCATTGATTACTTAACAAGCGTTAAACTAAACGAGTCAACAATTTGTTTTTTATACATGACTGGAAAGCTAGTCGCATTGAATGTTGTATTCGTTTTCAGTTTATCTTAACTGCGTACATCGAACATATCACAGAAACTTAAGTTTATTCCGTTTTCATTGTAGTGAACTCACGTAATAAGTAGTAGCTACTCTTTACTCCGAAAAAAAAAAATTCATAGTAATTGGAAGATCTATAGCGTCGCGTTTCCATTTAAACACGTAGACCAAGTCGTGAGTTACAACTAATATCACATATTGCACACCTAGATCTAAACAAAGACAGCTCAAAAAACTAATGTGGAGGTCTGACAATACATTTGTTTACGTGGCAGGAGCAGGACCACTGTTGATTCAACAAAAAAAGAGCTAAAGTTATCTAGCGGCTCATCCCCGAACCTTTATTGAATCGGTTATGTTGGATAGATGCGTATGATCACCGAGTATTTGAATATTGTACTAAGTCAATACTCACTCAAATTTTTGAGTTGCCTTAGTTTAGATCTAGGTGTGCGATATATTCAACAATAACCATAAAATAATGCCATGGGAAAATAAGCAATATAGTATATTATGTTACAATCGACAATAAATCTATTATCGAACTACATGTACCTTAAATAAAAAATGAAAATAAATGTAGATGAAATTTTGAAATTGAATATGAAATTGGTTAGGGCATTGTATATTTGAAAAAAAGTACATATATGTATTGAATTATGCCAAACTTTAACAGATATGTAGCATGACTGAAAGGTATTGAATAAATAATTCTTGGAATATGTATTTTGAATTGTGTAAGTTATTCAAGCCTTTGAAGTTTGCTGAAATAAGGAGCACTAAAATTTCGACTCTTTGTTAGGAGCTGGCTTTCTGACAGCCCCGATAGGCTTTAGAGTATGTTAATTGGGCTCTTTTATATAAGTAATTTTTGGGCTCCATACAAAAAAAGATAAAGTATACCTTCATAAGATCGACCGGTTGTCTTTCTGTCCGTACTTATAACATACGGACTTATTTTCTCTGAAAATAGACTTATTGAATGGCAATTTGGTAATCATAATCATTGGTTAGCCAAAGATAGATTTATAAGGTATGAGGTGAATTTGAAACAAAATAAAATAAAAAATTGAATACTATATATAACAGGTGAAATATATATAACGGCGGGTAGTCCGAAGGGGCTATTACGAAGCCCAAATAGATGGCCCATATCGGAGGACTATCTTTAAAATAACACTGCAGGCGTGTATACCAACGTAGATTTATTCTATTTTATCACTTTTCTTACGAAAATATAACGAGATGAGCGTGATCTCGTCGGATGTCTTTACTCCTCGGCGATCGGAAACAGAATGTGTGCTAAAATGGTGGCAATTTGCTTTTGTTAACGAACTGTCAAAGTCAGTGTCACCATTCTAATAAAATTAAAAGTATCGATGATCACGCTCTCTCTACAATCGAGTAATTAAGTAATCGAGTAACTAGCAATTAAAATAAAAGAAACTAAATCAAATGATCTTCGTAAAGATGATGCGACATATATATTTTTTAATATTTTTAAAGTACTTAAATATTTTTGAACTTATAAGAAAATAGATAAAAATCTCCGAGACTACTGGGGATATAAGACAGAAAATACTTCTGTATTTATAGAGTACAGGAAAACCTATACGATGTCTATAGTTTTTTAAATTTAATCGGAACGGCTACTATGCCGCTCTATGTCGTTTTTTTTTCGAAGTAGAAATTTATGTCTTATCTATTTTATTTATTCTATATATTAGTGGTTCATTTTTAAAATGATATAGAAAATAATGGTTACATTTTAGATATTTAAAAAGCACTGGTCTTTCTTACTTCTAATATTTGCATCTACGGAACACCTAATTAAATGTAATGTAACCGTAACTACTAAGAAAATAGAGTTAGATGGTGGGAAGTCTATAATTATAAAACATTTAAAAATAATGTCTCAAAAGAAGTAAAAAGGTAAACTACGATAAAAAGTAGCATAACAAAATAATAAAAGTAGCATAATTAAATTCTTATTATTTGAAATTTATTCCTGACTAAGCACAAAATTTCCAATAGACAACTAATTGACATTCAAAAGTAAAAGGGGGAAATAAGTATCCGTAGAATTGACTATAATTTATATTTAATAAATTAAAAATCTTAGACGCCTTTAATTTAGGTATTTACGTAAACGTAACCCTTTCAAAGTTTTAGAGATAGTGTAGCGAGCGGACGCAATAAAATAATGTGGGGTCTCTTAAAATATTTATAACATCGACATCTATCACAATTAGGACAGCTTGTGACGTGAAATCACGAAAAATGCTAAATTATCATAGTTATAATTGAACAATTCGGCTGAAACCAGCACTTATTACTCCAAGTAACGATGTTTATTACATAACAAAAAAAAACTACAAAACGCCTTATGAAATTCCATGAATTTTACTTATTTAATACATATATATTTCGTAAAGTAATGACTTTTTTTACATCGTCAATAAACGAAATAAAGCTGAGAAATTTTGTAATATTCTCTGTCATGGAGTTGAATATTACGCAATAAAGCTTATCTAATAATACATTCTTTTCTTCTGATCGCTTAAACACGATTTACTTTTAGAAGTAATACCGCCTTCACAAATTATTCAAAGTATTTTATTTATTATTTGATTTTGAAATGTAACATGTCGATAAATTAAATCCATTTACGTAGTAACTTGAGCTGCTAAAAGAAATTCTATTTTCAAACATTGATTAGGTTTGTACCCAGGGGAATGGTTACAACAGAATTTTGTAAGCCTGTGTATTGTATTTTATATGTTTATTGGTACTTCAAGCAATAAAAAACTTTTATAAAAAGTATAATATGAAATCTGTTGAAACCTTTTTCTCATAGAAACATTGAGCAGAATTTTTGGCATCAAAAAGTTTAAGGTAAACTTATCCCGAAGAGCCACATCTTCTTTTTCTGTAATGAAAAGTATCTATAATAATTTAATAATATTTAATTAACCGATGAATTAAAACAATAAAAAATGTATTATTATTGTTAATATAGTCCAGTAGATGTTCGAGGAAAATTTCATCGACTTTTAATATAAAGAGGAAATATTTGATTGTTTGTTTGTTTGCATTGAATAGGCTCTGAAACTACTAAAATGATTTTAAAAAATCTTTTACCTGCGGGAAACTACATCATACAGACGCGGGAAAATTAATAATAAAGAAAATACATCGGTCATCCAGTGGTTTATTTATTTATTTATTTTATTTTATTTTTTATTTATTAAAACCGGCTTTTAATATACTTCATTTTACATTTTCTCTATTTTAACTTTTGTGTTGGAATTGTTATTTTTCCTCAATAAAGCAAATCTAAACCATAACTGCTAAGTCCATATTTAAAAAATATATATTTTAGTAGCAACTAACGAGGTACGATTTAGGTGCCGGTTCAATTTACCCAACTCAACCCTACGAACTATTAGTTAACTTTCTCTGTAATTAATGATCACGTAAGATCTACTAATCTCTACGGAGGATTCACTCGTTTCTCACTTAGTTCACGAAGATAGGTAACTCTCAATTTATTACCTAACTTACTATCTGATACATTAGAATAATTCAATTCACAGATCTACCTCAACCATTGCTTTTACAGGAATTAATCTCCAAAGGTAAATTATTTTAATATAAGTAAGATATTTATTACTTCATATTATAAATGGGCCAAAATACTTTTTTATGCCTAAAAACCTGTCCCTTTGAACTAATGTTGAATTTTACGGTAAAACACTACAAAAGTGTAAAATAAGTATGCTAATTTCAAAATATTACATTATTGTTTAATACGGAACACAAGATTTGACCAGTAAAAATACATCATTATAACAAAAAATATAGTAACAATGTTGTCATTCTTAGTAACGCATTTGTTCTTCATACAAAATACAGTTGTCCTTGAGCACATGTCTCAAGCTTCTCTGGATTTTTTCCACAATATTTCCTAGGTGGCGATTCATAATGAATTCCGCTTTAAAAATTTAAGCCCTAAACCTTATTTATAATGCCAATAAATATTTTTTACATCAAAAAATTATTGGAGTAAAAAATTATTTTGACTGTGTCCCTAACAAATACTAAAATCGTAACTACCTTGCGTTGCTATATGAAAATAAACCTTTAAGTGAGTGTATTACCCTTTTTTGCACCTTATTCGGCTTTACATATTGTAACTCGTATAACGAACGATAGCAACCGCGGGGGAAGAGGATGCTCGTCAGATCAGCCGCGTCGGAGTCGTCGGGAGAGGTGCGTGTATTTATTGCGATGACCGCTGAGTTACCACTGTCGAAAGGTACGTATTGACAATATTTACATGATATTTGTTTTATATGTAGTTTGTCATGTATTGGATCTGTCAGTGTTAGAATATTTGCACTTTGTTATTTCATTTAGTGATTATATACAACATAGTCAAATATTTACAACTGCGATACTGCTACACTGCGTTACTTGAAAATGTAACGCAGTTGTTGCATTGGTAACGCAGTTGTGAATATTTGACTATGTTGTAAATAATCACTAAATGAAATACCAAAGTGCAGATATTCTAACACTGACAGTACAAAGACATGACTAACTACATATAAAAATAAATAATATATTTGTCAATGTTGGTGATACGTTATTTAAGCCTTAAATTTTATAAATGGTTTTTTTTATCTTAGAGAAAAGATTCTGCGCTAAATGGCGTTAACAAACGCAGAAAAACAACGTCGCTATAGGCTTAAATTAAAACTAGACCCGGTGAGAAATGCTGAAGCTAAGAAAAAACACCAGAAAGGTACCATGCAAATAAAAAACTTGTCAAAGATATGACAGAGCGAGAACATAGGAGTGCTAAGCGTAAATGGAAAACTGCAAATAAGAAACGTCGAGAACGACAAAAAACTGCTCAACAAATTATGGACATTACACCGACGTCGAGCCCGCGGTCAGGAACTCCAGTTTTACCGAGGTCTAGAGGCCGAAAACAAATACGAAGAGATAGATCTGCAGTGTACAGAAATAATTTGAAATTGCAGGAAGAAATAGAAAAGTTGAAAAGAATGTGTAGTAAATATAAAAAGAGATACCAAAGAGCTAAAACGTCAATCAAACACACGGAACAAGTAAATAAGCTTAACCAAAATAAGTATTCAACATTATCCAATGCCATCAAAGACCATTACAGAAGTTTGAAGTCAATCAAAGAGAAACAATCATTAAAACAAATTTTCAAGGAGAAGGCTTATCTAACTCTAAAATAAAAATTGCTATTGTACGCGAGACGTTGGGAATTGATCTGATGAAAGTGATGAAACGACAGCAGAATACCTCAAAGAAAAATCTGGTTAACAGCATTAAAAGCTTCGTGACGATGTTTCTAGAGCTCCTGCTGGAAAACGGGAAACTGTCACTTGTAATAAAATTAAAATATAGAAGCGATATTTACTAGACACAATGAAAAACCTATTTCATTCTTTTAAAAAAGAAAATCCAGAATTGAGATGTTCTTATTCGTATTTCATTAAAAGCAGGCCATTTTATATAAAGCCACCTTCAGTTTCTGGAAGAGAGATTTGCCTATGCAAGATACATACTAATGCGCAGTATATTTTAGATGCTCTCTACAAAACCAGGGTTATCGCTCACCAAAACACTGAAGGAGTTAAGCAAGGTCCGTTTGTATTTAGTGACGGACAGTGACATACAAAACATTGAAAAAGCTCTACCTAAAAACCTTGTACCACTTCAAGGTACGATGCTAGTACATCAAGTTTTTACTGACACTCCCGGTGAACTTCAATATAGAGATCTCAGTTGCTTTTGCCAAAGAGGTTTTTGCTCATGCATGAGCCCAAAAACTTATCACCCTGTTCCTGCTCCCGTTATTGACACACTTACAGAAGGTATTCTCTTGGATGGATTGGATGAGGAAATAGTTCTCGATGATATTTTATATATAATTACGTACCTAGAAGAACATTTTACAATACGGTTTATTCCACACCTTCCAGCTCTGATGACGAGTTCTTAGCCAGCTATAGCCAACCATCAGTTTCTAATATAAAAGAAAGGCAATTAATTGAAAAGGAAAATATTCATCCTACAAAGATATCAGACGGTGTCCATGTCTTAGTAAAAGTGTCTTCTGTTAAAGACAAACATTACACTTATCTAGGTGTTGCTAAAAGTGAAGTTGATGAAGAAGGAGACGTCAAAATTATGTTTTACAAGACAGTAGATAAAACTGGTAAAAGGTTCAAAGCAGTAGATACTGATATTTCTTACGAACCTTACGATAACATCTTAGAAATTGTTCCTAATCCTAAAATTGTCGTAAAAGGTAAAAGGATATACTTTGATTATGATAAGCCATTAAACGTCTTTGAAAAGTAGGACTGATTTGAAAGTGTTCCATTAGTTATTAAGGTTGATTTTGTGATTTTTATTTTTTGAGTTTTTAAATTTATTTCATTGAAGATACTTTATTTTATATCGAGTTATAGGAAGTTATATTTTGTTACGTTTTTATCGTTATACTAGATCTCTATAGAAAGTACAAATATTGTATGTACAAGAATTGTATGTAAGAAAATACTACCGTGTTACTGGGCTTACTACTGCGTTACTTTTGTGTCCCTCAGATTTTTTATAGTATTTTCAATATATCTATGATTTTTATTATTTAACGTGCTTTAATTTCATACGTACGTATTACTCATCAAAATTGAAAGATTATGTTGTAAGTTGGTATTAATTTTAAGTTTTTATTTGTGATAAATAGAAAAGTTTATGTTATAAAATTAAATTTTGGTAACGCAGCAATCCAAAGTAATAAGGATACTCTATGAAACTGATAACTTCTGTGATTTAATTTTATAAGAAGTTAATTATAAGCGTTACAGTTTAAAACTGACTCGTTGTGATTCTCTTTGTACAAGATTAATAAAAATTAAAAATAAATTCAAAATGTAACGCAGTTGTTTAATTTTCCGACACCTTCATATATTTTTGACCATAACTATAATAAACTCATTTAAACTAACGCTGCAAAGGAAGGTACATTATAAACCGAACTGTAACGTATCTATATCTGCATATAAAAATAAGAATATTAATATTTTTACAAAAAAAAGAAATTTAAAATCGTATGTTTAGATTAGGCATTAAAAAGTATTTTAGCCCAAATACTGTTTGATATTATAGACAATTTTTAGTTTTACTTTATTAGTCACAAACTATTACTATTTATGTTAAATGTGATGTACATTTATTTATTTATTTTAATTACTTACAGACCTTATATTTGGCAAGACGTTTTTTCTTCGAAATCATTATTTTTTGCCTATGAAATGTGAATAAGTATGGAAGAAGATTCGGTGAATAAAAAAAGTGATTTCCCATATTTTAGTATTAAATTAACCATAGCATACACTATATATTGTTAACTTTGTATATTTCTACGTGAATATATTAAAATAAGAGCACATTCAATATCATAAATTAATATAATTTATAAAAGTTTGTGATTTTAGGTGAAAACGCACTTTTTCTCTTTATACGTAGAAGCAGATTAGGCAAATACAATAAATCTGACAATAATAAATTTAAAACTTAATCAGATTAAGCTTAGAATAGATTTAACAAAGTATAGCTGTTGGCTGTACTCTGCTAAGTTTCCTAAGTGTATTCAATAATTTCAACTTCCGTTAGAACTTAGGACTAATCTATTATTCTCTAACTAAAATATGTATTGACAAGAGCAAAAGTTTTAGGTCCCTCTTGTTATAAAATAATATATTATTTATATTGTTATTAGAATTCTCAAAGTACCTATTGAAGACGCCTTGACCTCCGTAGTCGAGTGCTTTGCTGGTGAGTTTCAAGAAGACACCACCTTTGAAATACCGGGTTTGATTCCCGGTCGGGTCATCATAGAAAATGTACTATTCTATATATATTATGTGATGTTGTCTTACATGTATTTATTTTATTTCCTGTGATTTATTTTATGCCAAAAATCTTATACTATTTCTGTACTGAATCGTCGAGATTTAATTTCATTCCTTCTGGTGGTGAACGAGTTTATTAAAGCTTTACGTAAACACCAAACAGACAACATGATGAATTCAAATCTGATAGGACGACTGAGGTTGGAATATTGCGCGCCAAAAACGATCTGGTAATCAATTCTTTAAAAATATAAAATTATGAAAGATATGAAAAATGAATTTATTATGTTTATTTTTCAATCGCTTAAATTTTATAAATTTACGTTTTGAATGTGATAACGCGATATATATAGTCGTTTCTCATTTTGATTACAGCTGACTCGAAAGATATTTCTTTGAACAAATCCAATTAATGATTAATGTTTTTGGTTTACACACCGTCTTAACAAACACTTATTAGCTACTGATATAATTTGCATTTTAAGAAAGCGCATACAAAATACTGCGTAGTTTTAACACGGGTCAGTATGAACTATTTCATTGGCATATCGTTATCTACGTATCGTTGATCATTAAAACATTCGTTACCACTGGCGGATTACTAACCCTTATACTTATCCCTTAAAATTAGCTTTTTATTTATTAACCTTGTTGTAAACAAGAAGGTAACTAATCTAAAGGTCGTCACAGACGGTTAAGATGCTATAATCAATGCTATAATATGATATCTTAAGATAGAGAACATATCGCTCTCCATACATTCCAACGGTTAAGATTATATGATGCTAAATACTATAAAATTGCATATTAAGTATTAAGTATCTTTAGATGCCAAGCGATAAGAAAATATATATTTCGAAGGTTAAAATGGCAACTTAAGATACAAAATATATAATTTGTAAGTTAAAATAGTATTTAATATTTAGTTTAGAAACGAAATATTAAAATATGTTATTTTTAGATATCTTAAGATAAAATTTTACAGCATCTTAACCGTTTAATATGAGCTTAAATAACCTGTAACTAAACATAATTAAGGACGGTTTATTCGCTACAATTTACAATCTTCTAAACCTATATATATTGTCATTACCGGACTATAAGAGAAACATAGAGATAATTCTCTCTTAATTATTACTAGGGAGGTAGGGTAATAATAACAGTCAATATGTTTCTATTATAAGCCAGACGCTTTTCAACTCTATCGTATAATGCCTCTAGTTTCCATTACACTTAGTTAAATTTTCATGATTCACTTCTGAACGGCACGAGATACGTATGACTAAATAACCGACATAAATCAGTCTTTCAAAAATGGGTTTGACGTCGCGGCAAATATATCTAAAATGAAAATCTATGCATTTGACTCATAAAAAATGACATATATCAGTATCAGACTGGGTTCTTTTCAGTGTTTTCAAAATTACACGATCAAACTTGTCCCGTTGTACCATTTAGGTAAATAGGAGCCCGCATAGCAATTACAGAATATTTCGAGTTGATTTTAATATTTTTTGTACAAAATGTATGAGAAAAGTTTATGACAATTTTTAAAGTTACACTCATACTTCAAATGGTTGTTTTGATTTACACATGAAATGGGATCACCAGATATATATATTTTTTGCTAACTGTATATTTATTTCACTTTTAATGTCTAGGAAAGTTTTTATGTAAATTTGATGGACATTAACTTAAATCATAAATATGCTCTTACTGTCCCGCCTGAAATGTTACTGTATAATTCATGCTAATATTATACAGATAAATTTTACAGTAGGTATCTCTGTTTGTCAGTATGTCTGTTACGTTTTCATGCCTAAACTACTGAACTAAGTTCAATAAAAAGTGGTACACAGATAGAGTTCACATGGGAATAAGCTAGTTTTTAATAACTAAATTCCACGAGGGTGAAGCCGCGGAAGGAGAGCTAGTGTCAAATTAATAAAATTCACCAAGTGCATTTGCAAAAAGATTTAAGAAGTTGTCTCGTACCTTTAAGATACGTCTAGAGTCTGTACCTAATAATTTGTGTGCAGCAAAAGCTGTGTATCATCATTTACATCCAGAAGATTCTACACATTTTAAAAGGATTCGGATATTCTACACTTAAATAGTACGTGGTAAAGATTTTGCTATGTTTTACGTAGAATATACATTTGCCTTTCGCTGAACTCTAACGTGAGCTCACAAAATGTGAATTGAAAATTTCCCTACGATTTATGGGCAATCTGAATAGATAGTGTATAAATCTTAGCTAGTGAACTAGTGAGGTAGAAAAACATTGTTTCCACTATTCGATTCCGGAAACGTGATGTCTACTCGATAAATAAATCAGGAACGATTGATTGAGACCTCCAATCTGTGCGTTTTGTGCGACCAAAGAGATTCAGATAAGGACGCTGAATGATTTTCGATCATACGATGCTCGGTAATGGACTGAAACGGGGAATCAATGTAGACACTTGAGAAAATAATGGTTCGTACAGCGTTACATATTCCGTGTTTTAATACCTATACTATAACAGTTGTATAGTTGGATTTAATTTTAGTAAAATAAGTAATTGAACTGATGATCGAAACACTAAAAAACTTTTGTGAAACAAAAATGATCCACAACTTATTCTGAGTTTACTTGAAGGTTTTATTCGAAAATGAGTAAAAATCGACGTGCAGATGTGTACTGTAAACTCAGAGTCTAGCCCGACCCTATGAAATCAAATAAATGTAATTTCCTTCGAACCTACTCAAAGCAAGCCTTCGCTTGCCTTCGCAAGCTTGACTGAGAATAGGCAATACACAAAAAGAAATCAAAATGCAGTCACTGTTCACTTTGTTGAATAGACATCATTTGGCTCGAACGGTTCGATGAATACTGAACGTCGTGAAGTGCTCGATAGATTAATATTTCGTTCATTTATTATCATATATATGTATGTTTCTCTAGATATATTACCATTATCACCTTTTTTCGTTCCCGTAATATCTGCTTTAGAAACTAAATTACTTATTGTAAATTTAATACGGGATCGTGGCGCAAATTATTTTCCTCGCAGTAAAATATTATTTAACTCAGATACATTTTAAACAATAGATTTCTAGATGAGTAGTGATAAATCATTTTGAATTAATATATTTACGGATAAAATTCCGTTGTCGTTTTAGACGTGTTGCTATTTACAATATTTTTGATTAATAACCGCTAATGCCAGTTGCGCAATATTGTAATTTTAATAACAATCTACTGCGAACAGGTAAAATATAATGTTCGATAGAAAAAAGGTTACGGTGTTACATTTCTGAAAATTACGATGTCCTATTTATTGAATCAAATAAAAATCATATCTTATTATAAATTTTACAGCTTCCGGTATATAAATAGGTATTTGATAAGAGTTTATAGTATTTTGAATCAAAGATAGCATAAATCCATTTGTAAAAAGTTTCAATCATTATCTATTTATAAGCTGTAACTTGCTATATTTTAATAAGTTATCTTAACGAACAACTCTTAAATATATTGGGCGTTTTATTCTATTATTCCTACTTTTTATCGAACTGTTGTTAGAAGAAATGTTCAAAGGCGGCAATCTACAATATAATATTTTTAGGAAGTGGGATGCGTGATCTTAAAAGTGTGGCAGATGGGAGACCTATCAAAGTATTCGATATGTCTAAATAAAAGATCACATTACATTTACTGTCGCATTGAAATGGATATAATTCGGTACCAAATCCAAATCAAATAGATGGAATCGGGTTGACTGACAGATTGCTTTTGTCTTTATGTTTATAACAAAGGGATCGTGACGTCAACAATTACCAAGACCCTTTTATGGAAAATAAATGTCACTCACAAATGTGTCCGAAACGGATGCGGTTTGTAATGGGTAACCGCTACGAGGTACGGGAAAGGTTTATATTGAAGTTTGAAGAGACAGCTATCTAAATTTGTTATATTTTTTTAAGTTCAAGTTTGTCTTTGTAACGGGTCAAAATTGAAGTCCCAAATTAGATTGATGATATTGTCAGTATTTCTGAAGATTATCCCTACAAACAAACAAAATAAGTAAGGCAGCTTATCCCATTATAATATTAGTATAGAATAGTTTATGTGTATCTGTGGTATAGATATATTTTATTATTATCTCATAAAATAATACTTTTAATATCTTTAAAATGCGTTGTCAAGGCGGCGTGAAATCAACATACCTTACTTTGAGGCCTAAACAATTTAAAATTTTGATTTTATAAATTTGTCTTTAATATCTTATCAACGTTTTTTGTTTTCCATTGACATATATAATGTGTGTTAATGCCTTTAGTACACCAACGTAATCGCATCGCATATAAATCGAATGCGAAACAACAAAAAACTTGTCAGTTTTATTATGGTTATGTTTGGCATGTGCTTTGTCTAGCTCAATTATTAGTTTGGTGAAATAGCTGCATCTCGACAGTACGATTTCGCAAGCAACTACGTAAAAGTTCGTTATACAGACGCAGATGTTTCGCAGGTATTTTGCATTCGCAATAGTTTCGCAGGGTTTAGCTTTCGCAAGCGAATGCCAAGCAACTAAAAACTATTAATTGTATAGCAATGTTTATCGCATCCTTTATCTCGTTCTATTTTTAACTAGAATAAATAGCTGCGTCCTTTTCAGTA